ATAAATAAGACTGTGGAATACTGCACCCAGTTTGGGGTCACTCCGTTATATATATATATAAAAAGATGTTGAGACTCTACAAAAAGAGAAGAGCTATAATGATGATTTAGAGAGGCTGGAGGGCTAAAACGTGGGAAGAAAGATTGCAGGAATTGGGTAGGCCTTGTTTATCTAGACATGAAATATTGAAATAAGAAAGAGGGCTGTGAAAATATCTACAGACCCCTCACTTCCTGGAAATAAATTGCTTTAACTTCTACCCTCAAAACCACACTTCAGAGCACTGCACACCGGAACAACTAGACGCAAGAACTGTTTTTTTTCTGCACATCATCACTGCTAAACAACTAATTCCCACAGCACTGTCAAACTATTTACTAAGGCTGTATTGCTATTCTTCTTCTCATCCTTCCTATTCCCTATCTCCTTTTCTACTTATGACTATAAACTTGTTGCTTGTATCTTTACGGTTTATATTGTTTTATTCAGTTTCCTAGTATGATCTGATTGCTTGTTTAGCATCGTATGGCTTATCGCTAAGTGTTGTATCTTCTTGATAAATTTAATTTTTTGTGTGTGTACCCTGAGAGCTTATGCACCGAAGACAAATTCCTTGTGTGTCCAGTCACACTTGGCCAATAAAAAGAATTCTCTCAAGGAAGAGAAGGATTCGGAGGGAGTTGATAGCAGTCTTCCAATATTGGAGGAGGGGCTGCTCCTACAAAGAGGAGGGGGCCCATTTTATCTCCAAAGCAGGATTGAGATAGAAGCAACGGATGGACACTGAGCAAGGAGAAAAACAATCTAGAACTTCCTAACAGTTAGACCAAGTCACCAGGGGAACTTGCTTGCCATCAGAAGTTGTGGGCGGCTCCATCACGGGAGGTTTTTCAGATGAGATTAGACAGCCATTTGTCTCACATGATATAGGGTGGACTGGAAGACCTCCAAGGACCCGTCCAACTCTGTTATTCTATTTTATTCTAGCTCATCGAGGAGAGATTCAACCTGGGAATAAAGAGAAATTTTCTGACAGGGAGGACAGACAGTCCACCCATGGAACAGAAGTTGCCTTCGGATGTTGTGGGAGCTTCTTCATCCCTGGAGGCTTTCAAGAAGAGACTGGACTCCCCTCTGTCAGAAATGGTGGAGGGCAGAGGTCTTGAAACTTGACAGCTTTAAGACTTGTGGACTTCAAGTCCCAGAATTCCTCCTCCAGTCATGTGAGCTCAGGAATTCTGGGAAGTTGAAATCCCCTTGCCAAGTTTGAAGACCGTCGGTATAGGGTCTCCTGCTTGGGCGCGGGGTTGGACCAGATGACCTCCAAGGTCCCTTCCGGCTCTGTTAATCTGTTAAATCTGTCCATATGTTGTGAAATGAGAAGAATTTTCTTCTGACTGCCAGTTGGTGTTCATGGTGTTCATGGATGCGTCCGGGCAGCCTTCTGCCTCTTTGTCCTACCTAGAGTGGTTGTTGTGATTCTTACATTGTATGTTGTGGGTGGCTCCTGTTTTGTGTTGTTTTTTTCACTTCTGAGGATTGCTGGTTCTTTTGCCAGTAAGATTTCACCGAGTTATTCTTTCTTTCTTTCTTTCTTTCTTTCTTTCTTTCTTTCTTTCTTTCTTTCTTTCTTTCTTTCTTTCTTTCTTTCTTTCTTTCTCTCTCTCTTTCTTCCTTCCTTTCTTCCTTCCTTCCTTCCCTTTCCTTTCCCTTCCTTCCTTCCTTCCTTCCTCCCTCCCTTCTCTCTCTCTCTCTCTCTCTCTCTCTCTTTCTTTCTTTCTTTCTTTCTTTCTTTCTTTCTTTCTTTTGTCAAGCATGCATTTGATAATATATCAAACGCCCCCTTACAGACCTCTTAGGAATGGGGTAAGGTCAACAGTAGACAGGTTAAAGTTTTTGGGATTTGGGGAACAAACCACAGTCAGGTAGACCAGTGGTTGCCAACTGATGGGCTGGGGACCACTGGTGGTCCATGAGAAATTTTTGGTGGTCTGCAGAGAAATGTCTCCCTGCAAAGCAATTAATCCAGGCTGTGCAGGAACACAAGGCTGCGCTGCCCACATGGACTGCGGGAACACAAGGCTTGCGTCGCTTGTATTGCGAAGAACACGAGGTCGTGAGGGGAAGGGGGAAAGGGTGGAGGGGGGGAACTTGCCCCACTCGCCCCACACGCCACGGGCTGCTTCTTTCCGCTTCTTTCTTCTTCTGCTTCTGGCTGCACGCAAGGAAAGCAGCCAAAGTCTTTCTTTCTCTCCCCCAAACTCCGCCAGAAATGAGTCTTTGGGACCCTGCAAGGCCTCCTGCTCCAAGAGGCTGCGCCGGCAAAGACTCCTTTCTGGCGGAGTTTGAGGGAGAGAAAGGAAGACTTCTGCGGCTTCTGCTGCTTTCCTTGCATGAAGCCAAAAGTCTCTCCTCTCTCTCTCCCCCTGAGAACGGAGCTGGAGACGGTATCCTGCGATCCCAAATGAAGAACGATCGATCGGTAGGAAAATGGGGTGGGGAATTTTCCTGCGGACTTTTTGGGGGGATTTTCCCAGGGTCTCTGGTCCGCGGGATTTAAAATGATGAGTTTGGTGGTCCCTGAGATCCAAAAGGTTGGCGACCCCTGAGGTAGACTATTCCAGGCATTGACCCCTCTGTTGCTGACGTCGCATTTCCTGCAATCGAGTTTGGTGCGGTTTACCTTGCGTTTGTATCTCTTGTGTGCCCGTGTATTGTTGCGGTTGAAGCTGAAGTAAGTCGTTGACGGGTAGGACATTGCAACGGATGATTTTATGTACGACGCTTAGGTCGGACCGAAGGCGGCGTAGTTCTAAGTTACCTAGGCCTAAAATTTCAAGTCTGGAGGCCGGTTGCGGGTGGCGGAATGGAGGGTTCGTCCTCGTGAAATATTCATGACCCAAGGAAGGGAAGTCAAGGTAGGTTGTTGGAGACCAATGGTTGCAAACTTTTACCTCAGAGAAGGGAAAACAAACAAACCGAGATTCCCTCAGCAGGGTTCATGTTTGGTCAGCGCCTTCTTCCTTGGACCGGAATAATGGCACGAGATCTTCAGCAGAGATATCTCGGGAGGGGATTGTTCATCGAAGGCGTGCAAACTGGCCTTCCAACTTCATTGCCAACCAGCTTGTCTGATGAATGCGCTGCTCCACCGTTGCTAACAATGATTCATTGTTTGCTGAATCCCAAACCTCAAAGGAAGGCGGTCGTTTGGGGGAAACCGAGATGTGTAACCTTGCGGGACGTCCCCCTGGAAACCGAAGCTGCTTGGAAAGAGCCTCATTCGTCTTTCTCAAGCCAGCACAATTGCTCCTTTTGAAGGATTGGCTGCACAGGGGACCCTCCCAAGCTTAGTCTAGGGAAGAGAAGGACCAGGGGTGACAGGAGAGCAGCCTTCCAGTGTTTGAGGGGCTGCCCCAGAGAGGAGGAGGAAGGGGGTCCAGCTCTTCTCCAAAGCATCAAAAGTCAGGAGAAGAAGCAGGGGATGGAACCACCTGCCTCCAGGAGTTGTGGATGCTGCAACACTGGAAGTTTTTTTAGAAGAGATTGGATAACCCTTTGTCTGAAGTGGTGTAGGGTGTCCTGCCTTAAGCAGGGGGTTGGGCTAGAAGACCTCTAAGGTCCCTTCCAACTCTGTTATTCTATTTTATTTTATTCTATCCTATTCTATTCTGTTTTCTATTCTGCTTTCTATTCTATTCTAATTATGTTCTTAATTCTATTCTGTTCTATTCCCTATTTCTATTCTATTCTATTCTATTCTATTCTATTCTATTCCATTCCATTCTAATTCTAATTCTAATTCTATTCAATTCTATTCTAATTCTATTCAATTCCATTCTAGTCCTATTCTATTCTATTCTATTCTATTCTATTCTATTCTATTCTAATCCTATTCAATTCAATTCAATTCTAATTCTATTCAATTCCATTGTAATCCTATTCTATTCTAATTCTAATTCTAA